TTCTCTCTCTCTCTCTCTCTCTCTCTCTCTCTCTCTCTTTCTCTCACACACATACATACACTCACACGCACACACACATACATACGCGCGCGCGCACACACACACGCACACATAATTATAAAACATACTCAAGGATTAATCTCTTTCGGTCTCAGTCTCACGTCATGCTTTTTCCGGGTTTTGCAAACACACACAAATAAACAAAGTCACAGACAAATACGCACACACACACACACACACACACACACACACACACACACACACACACACACACACACACACCATATAATCAAATGCAATCATTACAGCGACCGAGGGTAAAAACACAAGTAGAAGAATATGACGTTGGGATTGATCGAGGGTCACGAGTCCTTTTACCCTTTCCGGGATTGTCGGGGCCCTGCATATCTGACTGCTGCACCAGCTATCTCTACCGAAGACCATGGTGTTGTGTACATTTATACTGTATGAATGTCTTGAAAAACGACAGCCTGGTGGCGGGCATCCCTCTCCAGTCTTCATTTCTACGTACTTCAGGCAGCCTCATTCCGATTTCGAAGACACACTTTTCAGCTTCTGTAGGAACTAAAATTTAAGCATTTTGCTCGGTTGGCAGCCGAAGCCTGAATAGTACGGCCACTGAAAGATCTTAAACATGCACATCTTGTACACGTGACCTTCGAGACTTTCTCGCACTTATCTGAGAAAGTTAGGTGTTATATCTTACCTACGCTACGATTAGGGGTGGGATTGAAAGACAGCAGTAAGAAGCAGCTAGATGTAGCAGTGGAAAGAGTCGAAGGTAAAGGAGAGAGGAGCCAGGAGGAGACTAAGGATAGTTGGGGGAGGGGGAGGGGGCGGGGGGGAGCTGAGAGTGGAGAGATGAAAGCAACTGATAGCACAGGATAAGAGAAGGGGGACGGATGTGAAAAGAATGATACATTTCTAGAGAAGAAAATCGTGTCGTCGCTGTCAGGTTTCAAACACGGAATCGAGTGTATGAGCTGTTAAAGAAAAAGAAACCATAGACACAGAAACATGTGTCAGACATATGGGCCTGACAATAAGACACCTTACTACAGGTATCTTCACTGCACTGATTACTGTTGTTTGAAAGTGGGCCTGTTCATTACTCGTGCTAATTTGAGCCACCACTAGAAAAAACTGATGTGCGCAATCGGTCTTTGGGATAGGTACCCTTAATTATGACCCTGTCGTCCCGTCATCATCATCGCTGTAGTAGTATAAATGGTGGTAGTAGTAGTAGTAGTAGTAGTAGTAGTAGTAGTAGTAGTAGTAGTAGTAGTAATAGTAGTAGTAGTAGTAGTAGTAGTAGTAATAGTAGTAGTAGTAGTAGTAGTAGTAGTAGTAGTAGTAGTAGTACCAGAAAGAGAACCAAAAAAGAGCCTTATGATAATGAGGTAGTGAAGTAGGAAAGCCGACAATAGAACAGCGCCAAAAGCAGCCAAAGAAGCTGGTGATGTAAAATGGAACTATGAAACAAAACGAAACTATAAACAAATAACATACCCTTATCCGTTTTTGTCTTCTTCTTGAAACAGCCACATGACGTTTTGTCGTCACTGGTGCAGCAGCAACACCAAAGCAGACATAAAAGAAGCAGAACGCCTGCAAAACCACCGAAACCTGCTGCTAGGCCCTTAGTCATGTCACCATTGTCGTCAAACTGCAATATGAGACAATTGTTCAATCTGTCAGTTACAACAACGGGCAGAAGAAGAAGAAGAAGAAGAGAGAGAGAGAGAGAGAGAGAGAGAGAGAGAGAGAGAGAGAGAGAGAGATCAATAAGATAACTTTTTTTTCAAACATGCAGGAAAAACAGAAAATTTGAAAGAAAAACGAAAGAAAAACGAAAAATAAGATCACATTCGGAAACCCAATTGAAGAATATCGAGGTATATGGCATGAACGACAATTGACTGCTGTACATATTATGCATGTATATTATGTTATCCTGGAGAAGATTAGAGAAGACTTACTTGTTCTTAAATTGGAATTAACAAATGTGGTGTCAGATAAAAAGCTGGGATGAATGGGTGAAAAAAGGACGTAGAAGCTATGATTCCTGCACAATGGACGAGCATTTGCACTTTGGAGATACAGGAGGTACAGATGGCGGCGGGTCTACGAAAAGAGGACACCGTCGGCACACACAAAAATGGTTCGCAAAGTATTGTTAGAATGTCTATAATATGTCTAAAAAGTTGTCGTATCGTTATGAGGTGCAATTGACCGATCAATTTTTTCGGTTAACCGAACAAGATTCTTGGTCGAGTAAATCGACCGAAATGGTTTCTTGACCGAGCAAGACATCAATCAAACGTCAAAATTAATTGTCGCTATCAAACAAACGCGAAACCCATAATTATTTTGTTGTTGCCTCATTTTGAAACTCAGCAAACTTCAAACTATCAACAAAATGAAATAAACATTTTCGATTTCCTAAAATGTATGTTTATCAACATAGTAGAATCTGTTGTAATTATTCAGTATAAAAGCCTGTATCATTTTCAATTTTTGACAATCGTGTTTTGGTGATCGTCATTTATAGGCTTTCCGAAGGATGGTGCTCCTGGGTAACTCCCAAAGAGGCAATTATGAAACTTACTCGAACAAACATCAATCAAACGCCAAAACTGATTATCACTATTAAACAAACGCGAAATTTAATATTTATCTTTGCCTCATTTTTCAATACGGCAAACTTCTGGCTTTAAAAAGAACTAGCTGGGCCGGCTTTCGATGAAAGGGATGATCGTTACAATATTAACTTCAACTGAAAGTCATTGGCCTACTTCCTCGACCTTTGCAAGCGCGAGGGGTTCCAACTGCAGAACGTCGTTTTCTGTTCTGCGTGGTCAGGCGCTATCTAGATCTAGATTCTACTCTAAGACCTGTCGACGTTGTTCCCAGTAGCAAGAAAAAGAATTTGCCAAAGGAGTCCAGAAAAAGCGATGAAGGATATCAAACGAAAGAATCATAGTCTAATTTAGCACCAAGTAAAAAAAGAAAACATGAGGCTAAATCTATACTGGTCGCACACTTAAAATAGTGCTCAGTATTGCGCGACAATGCGCGATAGTATCGAACGGAAGTACGACTTGAAATTTAAAAAAAACCTGGCGGATTTTGTAAAATTACAGAGACAGAAGCGTCGGCCTACAAAAGTGATCGGCGAAATAAAGAAATTTAGCTTTTTGCAGCAAAACTGTCACAAAACTGAATAAACGAAGGGCGTCATGATCTGGAGAATATTTTAAAGAATCCTTTGGCGAAAACGGCCTGTCGATCGATGCAGTCATTAAATAGCCTTTTGAATAGCAAAATTCGGCCACTACAAATAGATTTTTCAATACGTCAAACTTCTGGCTTTAAAAAGAATGAAATAACAGTTATAATTCTGTAAGATGTATGTTTAATATAATAGTCGAACTGGAGCTCACTATTCAGTACAAAAGCTTGTATCCTTTTCAATTGTTGACGGTTGCGGTTCTGTGTTCGTTATTGAGGCTTTTGGGATAATGGTGCTCCTGGGAAAACCTCAAACTGACAATGATGAAACTTGTTCGAACAAACGGAAATCAAACGCCAAAATTACTCGTTGCTGACAAACAAAACGCCAAATATATTCTAATGTCAAGGCATTAGTCAAAATAGAATAAATTCGTATGTTTTAATTATGAAATAGCTGCCCAAGAGTATGTTTACTATTAGATACACAATTGGGAATCTTGTTGAATGTCAAACCCAGCAGCCACTGTTTATTTTTAGACTGTCGCGGTTTTGTAATTGCACTGAGGGTAAAAGACATTGAAATGGCCGTGCACCTGGAAAACCAATCAGTCGGCAAATGTCTCGCGCCACCAGCACGAAAGCGAGACAAGCGTGTCAACTTATTAATATTCATAACGGAACATTTTAGCCAGGTTTACAATGAGGGTCCTATCGTTGATAAGCGTATTCGCGCATTTAGCCTATGTAGTTCTCCTTCATCCTCGCTTTTCGCTTCCAGTCGTTCTCTTCAAAAAGGATCTATATCGCCTTTTTCAAAATGATTTACTGACAGTACAGCAACAACAATATAAACATATTTTAAAACCCATAAACCCAGGCCCCTCCAACATGCCAGCAGCAGAATCGAAGGCTTACTAGATCTAGATCTAGATCTACGTCTGGGCCTACATGACCTTGAGACACATCGTCTGTAGGTTAGGCTAGCGGGTTTTTTTTTTACCTTGTCTGATCCGCTGATTTATAACAAGGCAAACCAGTGACCCACAGTTCACTGGCATCCATATAAACCAAGTCTGTATTTCAGTTCCTCTTCATTTCTCTCTGCTCTCATTCTGACCTCTTAAGCCAGAATATTTCGTCCGATCTAGATGTTCACATTCTCAGTCTTAGTGTGAATGCTTTCCTCTTTTTACTTAATTTCAACGCTTCGACTCTGATCTGCAACTTGTTATTCTGTATTACTGTGCAGATTTTTGTTTCCGTGCCTAGATCTATACTTTTCTTGAATAACACATTGAATAAATACCAGCACAATGAATTAGATCTAACCTAAACCTATTAATACAATTATAAGCTCGATCTCGGCTGGAAACAGAGCGAAGAAACAAAAAGAAAGGAGCACTAACAAGACATGTTAAACAAATTAAATAACTCTGCACGCATCTTTTATAATTGACTCCTATTTTTATACCGCGCGGAGCGACGAAGACCAAAAGCTATTTCTAGATCCAGACATCAGCTGAAAAATGCGTGCTACAGCGCAGGCGATGACTTTTAACCCCTGCTCGATCTTGATTTCTTGGTCGCGAAAATTTTTTTCGGTCAATTTCATCGGTTAATCGAACAATTTTGCATTTAACCGATCATTACTCGACCAAGACTTTTCGCTTACTCGCACACCCTAGGCTTTGTACGTCTGACCTGTAGCTCGCTAAGCTCGCGCCGTCTGCGCGCGCGCGCGCGTGTGTGTGTGTGTGTGTGTGTGTGTGTGTGTGTGTGTTTGTGTGTGTGTGTTTGTGTGTGTGTGTGTGGTAGCCTATCCGTTCGGAATGTTTGGAGCCCCGAAGAGTGTGCTTTTCGCCAGGGCCACCGCCTCTCTGTGTGTCAGCACCTTGGAGTAACTATATAGGGAGAGGCCCTAACGTTGCGTCGCCCGCTCAACAGTTCCAATCAAGTTGAAGCCGACGGGGGAGTTTATCGGGGCTGCCGCCATCTTTGTAAGTTCAAAACAATGCAGCGTACGCAGCGTAATCTCTTATCAAAACAAGCTGCTCGGACTCCATTGTCTCTCGAAATTTCTTTCTCAGTGTTAATTACAACATTATAAACACTCACGTACAGTAGCAATATAATAAGGATGTTAAGAAATTTTACTTGCATCAAATTACCAGCTCACTTAGTCGAATATTTACAGTAATAAATGTACTATGTATACACATTGTGATGGTAAGATATTTTTTAATGTTTTAGAGACGAAATTGGGATAAAAAGGATTAAAACAAAATTATAAATGGGATAACAAAGTTTGCTGAATTTTTGGTAGTAGAACTTCATTATTTTTACAAAAACGAAGACTTCTTGATAGTAATAATATAATAAGGACGGTAAGAAATCTTACTTGCATCAAATTACCAGCTCACTCAGTCGAACATTTAGTATTGCATGTAAAATATATACACATTGAGACGGTAAGACAATTTATTACATGTTTTAGAGAAAAAATGGGGATAATAAGGATCAAAACAAATATAAACGGGATAACAAAATTTGCAGACTTTTTGGTCATAGAACTTCATCAGTGCAAAATGATGTCATCACTGAATTTATTTTTACAAAAACGTAGACTTCTTGACTTAAACATAGAACAAATATATTTCTAACAAAATGGAAAATGATTACACAAAAGATGGTAGTGGGGGTGGGATGAGATGGGCGAAGAATGAGGAACGAGAGGGCAAGGCAGATAAAAGTGAAGTATGATGGTGGAAATTACCCCCCCCCACACACACACACACAAAATCCCACAAAAAAACAACAACAAAAAACAAGAATAAAAACAGCCCCCTCCTCGCCCCCCCCCCCCCAAAAAAAAAAGCGAGGAGGGAGGGGCATCTTTAAAACACCCAGACACTTTATCAAAATTTTACAAAATACTGTTAAGTGTACGGAAAAATAAAAATAAAATTTGAAATGATAGGCTTATTATAAGAATTTCAAAACAGATTGCACTAATTTGTGACTTTTCTCATTTGACAATGTCACACCCCTTGCACAGACAGACGACATATGGCATCGAAAATGTTATTCACACACCAAACACATTTCAATGACATTCTTTGAAGGCACTGTCAAACCTCCGACGAGACTCCAAAAACAGCAAGGAAGTTACATTTGACACACTGGAGTCAACTAAGGTTTCACATTTTCAAATGCTTTGTCAACCTTAACGACACAAAATCAGCAATGTGAGCAACAGTATTCTCAGAACAAATTGACAAGTATGCCAGACTAGATCCAGGCACATACGTGCAGTTATCATCATGGCAAACTGAATTTTCTTCAATCTTTTTCATCCTGTTTTTACTGTGATATGCATTTATGGCTAAATCAGAAGGCACTTCGCCATCAAGTTCAGTGTCTTTGCTAGAGACT